GAGTATTCTTCATTCCTGTTATGCATAAAAGGTATTTGCGTTCACGAGTCTCAATCCTCTCCTGCAAAGTCAACAACACTCATTTCTGTTGACTTTCACTTTAACAGTATACTTATTTACTGTCTTGTTGAGAGTTAGAGAATAGATTAAAATCACTGTTATGTCTGAAAGCCAAAGGTAGAGATGAGGTGACAGCCAAAATGCAGGACGCTTTCGCATTGCTTTGCTAAGCGGCTGAAAAAAGTTTCAGTTAAAAGCAGCTCATAATGTTCTCGCTTGGTCACATTGCCAGATTGTGTGTGAAACATGAAATGCACTCCAGTACAGCCCAACCTTTAGTGGTAAACCATAAGCAAAAATGTCTGTTATAAAAGTACCACAACTTGGCATTATGAGTTTCCTAATTAAAGATGCTATGGCAGGCCTGTTATGTTAGATTGCATAACATGGCAAATGTGTCTCTACACCAGTGACTCCAGAATATCTATGTAAGGATTAAATGTACTGAGAACATGACAACAGCTTCCATCCTGAATGGATCATATTGTTTGAAGAGGTAAAAGGGGAAGGGCTTCTGTTGAGTCAATAAAATGTCCACAAACACAAAGTCGGCTCCACCAGAAGTCTTTTAACACAGCTTTATCGGTGTCTGTGTCGAGCAGCAAAGAGTACGGAGTACAACGTATGTTGAAATAATGTCTGTCTGACTGTGCTTGCATGGAAACGCACTGCGTTTGTCTTTGCTTTAATTGCTGCTTTGTGTAAACAGCAACATTTATTGGGAAAAGCCTTCAGAGCCAAACAGGACATCTTTAGATGAGTCTTTGTGAGTAACTAACCAAACACAGAACTCAGTGACCACAGCTGAGAAGCTTTTTTGCTTTTCTGACTGATAAACTTCCTAAATGTCAAACGCATTAATGTTGGTTTACAAATTGTTTTGGCACTAGTTCTGAAGAACTGATTTCTTCTCTGTGTGCCATGTAAGTGCAGCAGAGGAGTGTGATTAATGTGGAATCTGTGCTTTGTGGTGCAGTCATGCCCAGGTAAGTAAACTCAAGAAGCCCTCTTTGTTTTGGCTGTCAGGTGGGTGATAAGTGGTGAGGTCAGGGTGTGGGAAGATATTTCCGGTTGACGTTGCTCCGCTTCCCAGAAACAAATTCACTTTTGACTTCTAAAGGAAGGTGTGTTTGTGAGATCAGTGGACAGAAGATCCAAAAGGAGTCAGGTTACTCGTCTTTAACAGGCAGCCCAGTGAGCCCGATGCAGAAGAGAAACCCGCCATGACTCATTCTGGACGCGTTGTTGTCACAAAATACCCTGCAGATCACAATTTAACTGAGAAACGTGCAACAGATTCATATATGGAAATCTTTTGCTCTTTGTTGAGATTTCTTCTACCTGACATTTGATCCACTTT